GAACAGTATGGACACAGGGGGTGGAGGTTTTTCTTTTGTAAGTGGGACCGTACCAAAGGTTACACTGGACGAGACCGTCGACTCCGAGGAGCAGGACATCAGGGAAGAGCAGCGGCGTGGTCGCTGGAGCTTTGGGCATGATCACGATCCTGTCGTTTCCGCCATCCAAAGCATGAAAGATCTGTTCCCCAATGTGCGTGTCTCAATGGACCCCACGACATCTCTCAAGCTGAGAAAGCGAATCTACCCGTTGAAAACCGTTCTCACGCTCGGAGCCGATTACAACACCCAAATCGGGGTGTGGCAATTTCGGTCTACATGGGAAGATTCCATCATCGGGGGTAGAATCAGCATCGCAGGACGGGAAGTGATGCTGACGAAATCGTGGTTACTCAAGGTCATGGACTCGGAAGACGTTGCAACGCGGTTAAAGTTTCGAGCAGCGATCAACACACGAGACTGGACGGCGTACGCCAAATTTGGTTTCCGAACAGAGCGCATATCGCCTCTGAACATCAAGGATGGCTTCCAGCTAGCGAAGAAGTTCCCGCTTGATGGAAATAATGGTACGTACCGCCGCTCCATTTTGCATGTATTGATGCTCTGCTGAAACGGGACAAGCTGATCTTGAACAGCTGTTTTGAAGTGCATGAAGTGTGTGAGAGTACAGGTAGTGCCCGAACTTAAGAACCTGTAGTTTTGCCCGAGGCTTGGGTTTTTGATGCATTCTTCTTGCGGGCGAGAAACAGCCTCTATACCGTATATGACACAAGATAACACACCCCTTGACCAATTTTCGAAGCTCGATTTCTCAACTGCAGAAACAGTCACAGCACCGAAAACGGCGGCGTCGAATCCGTGTCGTCGAGAGCTTATCGAAAATGTATCGTTTCGTTCATGCATCCTCTTCGTCGTGGAGTAATCGAGCTTTGAAAATCGGTCCAGGGGGTGTCTTATCTTGTGTAATATACGGTAAACGTCTTAGCGTTGGGGTTCTTAACCGGGCTCACAAATGGTGCTCAATATTATGTGTATGAAGTAGTGTTGAGCATGAAGTTCTTGGTTGCCAAGTTATTTCAAGCGTGGGCGCTGTATGCCAAGAACCGCCCGTGTGAGGAGACCACCGGCCTTCGTTGCCTGCTGCACTCAACAAGGTGAACACCTTCTTATTTTGTCGTCACAGGCCGTGCACAATCGCAGCACAATCGGAATGGTCGAAATGCCAATCTCCCTGGCCACTTTGCAGGATAGCACCCAATGGAAATTTTTCAGCTACAACCATCGTCCTCGACCTTCGTTCAACTGTCTATCTATTCTAGGTCATGCCAAACTCGAGGTCGTGTCCAAGCTCGCGCTACCGGAGCCGGAGCTCCAGTTTAGTACAAATGGCGACACAAGCAAGGGGGTTGTGATCGGCATGGGCGATGTAAATCTTGGGATAGAGGAGTTTAACCTGTTGCTTGAGTACTGACGAAAGTATTTCGCAGGGCAAGGAGTGCGCATGACGGTGCGGTGTAAAGTGTCAAGAGGATGGGACGGACCTGGCCGTCTGATTAATGTGGTGGTGTAGCAGTGAAGAGGCTCGTGGTACTCAATTCTCGTGGTCAGCACCATCGCAAGTGGTGTTTTATCTTTGGTTTCGGGCTACCCGTGTTGGGGCGGATGCAATTTGCCTTGGACGTAATGTCACGGCGTGCTTTTCAACGCAGTGGTCTAACAAAGGGGTCTCAAGGCACAGAAAACAAAAATATATCGGGCATTACTGCTGTTTTCGTCTGCAAGGCTTGCGGAATGAAAAGTTCCCCACTCATTGCAAAGACTTGTAACACATTCCTACGAGTGTGGTATTTTCTGGAACCGGTAGTCTCTCAGTGATTGCATGTGAAATTCTGGAAATCGGAACGGTGTTGCACGGTTCGGTGCGGTGCAGTAGCCCGCGATGGCTGGAGAGCGCATATACAGCTATGAGCGCAACTGGCCACGGCGCTGATGCATTCCGGCATTTGTTGCGCGATAAGACGTTCACCGTCTTTGGGTATTGGCCTTGAGGTCACAACACGTTCTTAGGTGAACGAGCTTAGACCGGAATATGCAGGCTGTCTCCTGGAGCATGCTGAGTTTTTCTCTGTCCCATTAAGGATGATCCCTGTAGACCGGGGTATGGAGTCATTGCACCCCAGCCCGCATTGCAGTATGTAATGCAAGGGAAAGGTGCGGTAGGAGTACGTTTACTCCCACGGTGATGCTATTTATATCGTAGTTCCTTGGCTTCGTCGTGTAAAACAAACAAGTACCTCACCTGTTCAAGGTGCGGTCATGCAGCCCGCTGCTGTAACACCGTGTTTCACGTGCGGAGTTGATACGAGTGGCAATGACATGCGTAACGGCGTAGTGTGGGTAGTCATGAATGTGAACTCGCTTTCTCTCTTGTGCGTCTAAGGGAAGCCAGGACGCCTTGATGTATATACATACGCTTGCGAAACCAACATAATTTACCCAAGTCACGTGAGGTCGTCGGTCCGTTGGCACTACTACTGTAGGTACCGAATTGCACCTTTTGTCCCCAACACTGTACTGGGGGATAAATCAAGCAGGTTGCTGGCAACAAGTAAACATGTCACCATTATTTTCCTTTGCGTGGAGACCCTCCTAACTGCAGGTGGGTGTAAATGAATAGTGAAATGGTATGCCTGTCCCAAGTACATGAAGTACAGTGAGGGCCCGCAGTTAAGAAAAAATCTGATAAGAAAAAAAGGCTCAAAAATTTTGCGAAAAATAAGAAAAAAGGGCCAAGAAAAACAGCTGACCGTCGGCCACCACGTAAGGAACGTCCCAATAATAAACATGAAGGTGCGATCCCCCCACGACATAAGAAACAAGGGGTAGCTGGAGGAGCGTGCCCAATAAGAAATGTCCCACCGCTGCTCCTTCCGTGTTCCCACCCCGCTACCTAGCTGAAGTGTGCATTTTTTTGGTAGGGGGGAGAATGGTTATTTCGCCACACCAACGGCTACCGGGTATTATTTAGCCAAATAAGAAATATTACGAAGTGAGAAATTAGAGGATTGGGAGGATGCGGCGTTCCAAAGGAAAAATAAATGTTTTTCAAGAAAACGGACTACATCGGCTGGTGCTTGGACCCGAAAAAAGGGATCGAGGCTCGACCCGAATTTCACGTTTCTTATCTGCGGGCCCGTACTGTAAGTGGCACATACATCGCGCCTGGAAGTAGATGATCTGGGGTGTTTAAATGAGGATATTATTTCCACACCTACTACACGTACGTACGTACATCTGCTGTTGTTTGTCTCGGATGTCGCTTCCTTTTCATTCGTGACGAGTATTATACCGAGTACCCATGATGAGGGCATAGGGATCGCTGAAGAATACCCTTCCTCTCGCCCTACAAAGAAACATTAAGAAAATATTGACTAGAGACTACAACAATCAATCGTAGTACTACTCTGCTGCTGTTGTTGCTGTTGTACAGACCCATCCGCCGCCGCCGAAAATCAACTATTCATGTTAATGACGAGAGTTTTTTTCTGCACATCTATCTGCTGCATGCAGTAGAAAGCATACAGCAGTAAGTAGCGAAGGAGCAGCAGTAAAATACAAATTACAAGCTGGACCAGTCAAATTGCATGCAAAATGGTTGAAAACGATTTACACCACGATTGATTTCTACGAAGTACAGAACCTGAAATTTTGATAATAATATGTGGTCGGTATTTACACAAACAAGACCTTGACTGGAAGCACCCTTTTTATTTTTTATTTTTCACGAGGTAGCCCTGTTGAAAGACAATTGGTGATTTTTTTTTGTGTACAGACAGGGGGACTAAATAAAAAGGGTGCTTCCAGTCAATCAAGGTCTTGCTTGGTTGTACTTATTATGATAATACCGACCACATGTCAAAACTTCAGATTCAGATTTTCGTGGTGTAAATCGTGATTTCCTCATATATATTCCCTCAGCTACCTTGTTTATTGTATATAAATCATCATGAGGCCATGAGTTCTGATGGAAGGGGAATTGAGCCCTGTAACTACCATTTACACTCACTCTCGCAATGCTCTCAGGTAACAAGTGCACACCAAACTTCAGCTTGATCTAAACGTTTTTTATTTCAGCACGGCTATTTGGGACAACGTTGTCCCAAATTTTTATTTGGGACAACACGTCTAACTCGGCGTAGAATGCTCGGATCGACCTCAAACCAAGTTTGTTGTAATCCTACTGGACACAGCGTTCACGGAATGTATTTTGAGTCCACAACGGAGCCGGGGCCGAGGAGATAGGGCCTAAAAAAGGGGCTCCTTATTACGGAGGAAAACGTGGATTTACCGAAGCCACGGAGCCCCTTTTTTAGGCTCTATCTCCTCGGCCCCGGCTCCGTTGTGGACTCAAAATACATAGATAGAGCCTAAAAAAGGGGCTCCGTGGCTTCGGTAAATCCACGTTTTCCTCCGTAACAAGGAGCCCCTTTTTTAGGCTCTATCTCCTCGGCCCCGGCTCTATTGTGGACTCAAAATACATTCCGCGAAAGCTGTGTCCAGTAGGATTACAACAAACTTGGTTTGAGGTCGATCCGAGCTTTCTACGCCGAGTTAGACGTGTTGTCCCAAATAGCCGTGCAGTTTTTTTTTTGGGCTACTGATTATTAAATGATTCAGTACCAGAGGTTTCGGGTACTACGCAGTCAATTGATTTTGTCATATATATCTAAATCAACTCAGATTCGAACATTATGGTACCTGCGGTTTCCCTTTTGTCTTGTACGAGCAGCTGCCAAATTTGAAGCCTACATACACTCGTTTAAAAGGCAGCGTGAGACGCCCAAGAACAAAAATAAAGGTGACCTCTTGGCTGGCCCAGCTTGCTTGTAGTTCTGACTGGTTGTTGTTGTCGTCTTTACATTAAACCGTATGTCAGTTGCTAAATGCCAAAATCTAGCAAAAGACTCTCAGCCCGTGGTCACGAAAGTGCTAGAGCCATGTGAGGATCTACAGAACACGCACACATATAATAACGAGAAAAAGGTATCCAAAAGCCCGAAGAGGTACACCTAAAAATCCCTGCAGCACCGTATGCGTGCCCAAAAACTGAACTGCACGTCCGTCCCACCGTTCGACTACAGTAGCATCACCCCCTCCCTGTCCCACTCTATACCAAAACGGAAGATTGCCGACTACAGCACAGTGCTGTCTGAAGTGCTGTCTGCACAAAAACACCATGCATGGTAGGCATGGAACAAGCAGCTGGCGGGGCACAAAGCTGCTGTCTGAAGTGCTGTCAGAATGTGTCTGCGGCCGTACAGTGAAAAAGAACAACAAACCAAAGCCATCATAGCAGCAATTGACAATCACCCGAATCTCTCCCGATCGTCTGTGTAGGCACTGCAGTGAAAAGTAATGACACTAACGTGGTAATTTTCAAGGACCCGATTTTGGTTGTCCCTCCATAACTTTTGACTGAGAGCGAGTGAAAGAAAAAGAAAAACAGCTTCGGAACGCCCGCGGCAAGGCGCAAAAGAGTAGCGAGTCGCCAAAAAAAAAGGAAAAAACGAGAAAAAGAAAAAAAGATACTCGCGGCGGGTCTCGAACCCACGAAATTGGCCCTAGAGCAACTTTTCCCCGATATATGTTGCTAATCCTTTTTTTTTTTTCGCACCAAACCACCCACACGTGCACAGGAACGCCCTCAAGCACTATGCAAATGCCTCTACCGCACCTATAGCGTACATACATCACAAAAATTGGCCGTTTTCAACAAAAATGTTCCATTTTTGTACAACATTCCCACCAGAAACACGGAAAAAAACTGAACAAATACAGCTCAATGAACAAGAATGCGCCATCGACTCTACGGCCTCCATTCCTTCGGGGTCGGGCGCCTGTGCGACTTGTACTTCTTGTACGTCTTCTTGCCCTCAGGCCCTTGCACACGCGTCTCGCGGTACATGAGGGCGTGTGTGTACGCCTTCTTGCAGTAGCCCTGGACTACCGAAACAGCCTGTCTATCCTTCTCTGGTCTAAAACTCAGCGGCACGTTCTTGCGCAAGCATTCCAACGAATATTTGCAGTTCTTTCGAGTCCAGTCCTTCGCTCGGCCCCAAACAAGCTCGATGGGGTTACACTCGCAGTGGTACTTAGGAAGCATGAGACAGGCCCCCCCGTGGCGCTGCATCAACAGCACCAGACTAGAATCAACTTCCTTGAAGTCCTTCTGCTCTCCCAAAACGTGCTCCATGCTCTTGCTGAGGTCCTGCTTTTCGCCCGAGCCCCCCGTCTTACTCATGCCTTTGACCAGGAGCCCCCTCTCCCACAAAATCTGCCGCATTCCTTTCAACTTTCCGACATATTGCGCCGGCTTGAGATGCGGGGAGTGGAAGGGGGGATCGTCCCCCCTCCGAAACACCAAGTGCTGTACCGTGCCGGCTGGGAGGTTCGGGGTATCTTCGAGGATGGTCACGGGGTCCATCGGCGCAAGCTCTTCTCCGTTCCTCACACCACCGACACCCAAGTTCATTCTCTTCACCGACGGTGCGCCGACCTCCATGCAGTCATGACAGGACGACCAGTCGAACAGGCCTACAGGCTTGTGCTCAGGGTAGAGAACTGTGAACATGTCGAGCACGTCTGACATGTGGTCCAGCATCCTGAGCCCGGTCCAGTATCCCTCCTTGTTCTTGCCGTACTCGAAGAGGTGGTAGGACCAGTACTGTCCATGCTCGTCTTCATGAAGCATGTCGATGGGGCGGAACTTCTCCACCTTCACGTTTTCCCCCCGTCGCTTCGCGGCAGCTGAGGCGGCGCATCGTTTCCTGCGGTTGCGCTCCGCGTCCTGGATCTGTGCCCGCGACGCCGAGAAGAAGCCAACGTTGTGGATTATCGTCCCCGACACCATGATCCCCTGGCCTTGTGACTTCTTCACGGGCACATGCTGGCCGTCCCGATACCACGCGCGCCTCTGGTCGTCGTTGGCTGCAAATACAAACAAGAAACCGACAATTTAGGGGCGGCAGATGTGGCGCTGTCAACATGTGTGATTAAATTTAAAGTCCCACAATTGAATTGCGAGCAAGATTACTGTTCGCGCCCGGAATTTACACCTAAATTATCGAACCCGCTTTGCTCCGTTTAAAACTAACCTCGAAATATGCTCTCGTCCTGGTAGAGAAGCATGGCCCGCCTCCCGTCAGGGTAGGTTTTCTTGCTCTGCACTCTGGCTTGCAGGTCTTCGGGCAAGTCTGCCAGCGCAGACTCGAGATCATCGACACAAACCCAGACACCACCATCCGGCAAGCGCTCGGTCTCCTCCACCGTCTCGACGTCAACACCCCAGACGATCGCTTCATCCTTGCCCATCGGAATCCATACCTCCATGTAGTCGCGGGTGTCGAACAGCGCCGGGAGGAACTCGTCGTGCCGGTATTCAAGGGTCTTCTTGTCGTCGTGGCCATCGAAGTACAGCCCCTTTTTGCCGTCGTGGTATTCGCATCCCATCTTCTTCAGCCACTCCGTTGCCGTAGAAAGGGAGATTTGGCGCTTTGGCGGCTCGTTCTCCTTCACTTCCACCAGCTTTACTCTCAATCCATGGAAAGCGTTGATGCCGTCCTTTTCCTGCTCCTCCAGCATCGGCATGATGGTGCTGTTCACCCACTTGCGGAAATCCTCCGCCGTTTTATTGGCTTGCCCACTGAGTATCCCGCAGTTCTCGAGCACCCAGCCTTTCGCGAGCTTGAAGACGCCTTCGTCGAGCTCCAGCAAAAACCTGCGCTTGAAGCGACCTGTGTCAGGTTTTTTTATGCGTCCGTGGGCGATGAAATCCCGCTCCCACTGCTGTACTGTTTGAACGGTTCTCCGTCCAACCTCTGCTGCGATGGCCAGTGCATCCTTCCGGTCGAAGCCGTCGGCCTGCTGGGTGTACAACTGGATCAATGTCATGGCCACTTGCACCGTGTGCGCCAGCTGAAAGTTGGACAAACAGCTGTCTTCCGTACTTGTATCCTGCGCGAAGGGGGAGTGTCGAGGGTGGCAATAAACCTTTAACTTTCAGTGGCCAATTTGTTTGACAGCAGTATTTCAAGTGTAATTTTTCAAGGTTGAGTGCAGGCAAATTAATTTGCAGAGCGGGTGCGAAGTACGTGCAGGTTGGTCAAACTCCGACGGCGGAGGTTGCAGATTGGTGCCGCCCGAGAAACCCCGCCACGATAAATTAATAATAATGTCGTGAGATGAATTTACAGCAGTGTAGATTATTACAGACCTCAGAGCCCCCAGGTTCGAGCACGGCATGCGTGAAGAAAAAAGAGGATCACACTTAATTTAGACTGTGTAGACTACTGCCCTCACATCGTTCATCTCCGCGGCTGCGCTGATCGTCTTCGCCACATCACTCACAACGCCGTCGAGGAGCTCGATGCTCTCAGCGCGAAACTCGTCCGCCGCTGCCGCCAGCACCCGAGCTTTCATCTCCGCCCCTTTCGCACGCCTAATCTTCTTTGCAGCTTGAGATGTGCTGTACGTGCCCTTGTTCAGGTATCTCCTCTTCGCCTCTTCGGCCCACTCGGGTTCGAACTCTATCCACGCCCGCACGACTTCTTCCAGACTGCTTGCAGAGAGGTTGAATGCCCCAGGAACGGCCTCCTCTAGTTCCTGCCGAAGTGTCAACGCACGCATCCGCCGGGCCGCCCTCCCCAACTTTCCAAAGGGCCGCCCACTGTAGTCCCGTTGTCCACCCCAATTTGGATCTCGCGATCTTTGCGCGCCTGCGAGACCGGGTTCTTGTAGTGAACCAACGGCTGGCGCTGCGGCTCGAACTGCGGGTGCTGTTGAATCCCGCGGTGGTGCTCTCTGCACCGGGGCGTACGCTGAGTTCTTGAGTTGAACGGCATCCCAGTCAGCAGCAGTCACCTCGTCTATGATGATTCCCTCCGCGACGGCGTCGCGGCCGCGTGGCTTCCCAGACGTGATCCAGCGGCTCCGCCATTTCAACTCAGTATTGTTGGCTCGCGACCTTGAGTGCAGCACTAACCGATACTTTCGTGGCTTCTGTCTCTCGATGCTGAGCTTGTCGCGCAGCGTGTATCCGTCGGGAACCAACTGCTGCAGGCAGGAGACCCTCTCTTGGTCGAGTTCCATTTGGTTGCCGGTCTTCACAACAACATGTGTACACCTACCGGCGGCTGTGTGCGACGCGGCCCAAGCGGTGGTTCGGCCGCGATTTTTTTGAAATTTGAAACTTGGTTTATTTCTGTCTAGGGCCTGGCAAAAAAGAGTTCTGAACCAGGTGATTTAGAACCAGTTTGTTTCAAGGATTCCGAAAATATATATATATGTAATGTACTGCTGTAATAAACAGTACTTTGTAGTAAATAGATAAACTAACGTATGTCGGTTATTGCATACTGCTGTAGCCTTTCTGCACGTATACTTGTTTTTCCTAAATACTGCTGTAAAAAGCCCCCCTCGAACGACTATGATTTTCGCTCGAACAGGGAGCTTTTATGTGTTTAACGGGTAGTCTTTCTGTGTGCATATTTGTTTTTCCTAATATATGTATTTTTCTAAATTAAACCAGCAACTACTGTCAACATGACATATTGCGCCGTGTTCCCTGTGCAGGCCACATGTAAATGTACCTACGCAGATGTTTTTGTGCTAAGCACCAACTGGTATCACTGATATAAATCATCAGTGTATAGGCTTAAACAAACTCGAAATAAGTCAAGTACCCAGCTGGTTTTCCTCTACTCACTGTAAAGACTTCAACACATCCCCTTCGAGTGTAGTTATACCTCGAACGGGTAGCCTTTCTGTGTGTATATTCGTTTCTCCTAATATATATTGACCGTAAGCCTGACATCAACTTCTTCTTCTGCTGCACAATCGAATCCAGGTGTGTGAGTGTGTTGGTTGGACACAAAGTGTCTCTCGTCGAGTACCACACCAATAAGATCCACCACTACTGCTCAACACGAAGATGTGTACTACTCACTGATGCTGCTGCTGCCCTTGCTGAAGGATACTCTACAACATGGCTACGACACACCGGAGAAACACAGGGAAGTCTCGTGCTGCTGCTTGATGGGGCAGCCAATGATTGCATAGACCCGATGACTTGATCTATTCAAAATGTTCGCCACCACCTTTCTTTTATTGCCTCGCTCCTACTCCACCAAGACTGATTACCCTCCATTCACTTGCAAAAGCACTGAAATCTCTCCACTCCCATGTAGTACTTATATCACAACCTCCTCTAATACATCCCGTCATTTCTCGACACACAAGGTAGCAAACATCACGTGATGGGTTTTTTTAAAATATCGAAAAGAGCGGGAAAGCAACAAACAGTCGACATGTTCTGAGATTCAAATTCTGTTTGCAAACATGTACGATTGTGTATGTATGTTTGTTTTTCCTCATAATGTACGACACAGCAAAAGACTTACCTCCGTTTCCTCTCTCCTACACAACCAAGTTTACTGCCCATACACACGCAAGAGCACTGCAATCACTCTCCCCCCATAATGCATACTTTGCGTCACAATCTCATTTGATGAGTCTCATTATTACTCGTCATACACGCATATCAAACAACACCATGGGTAGAGTTGAAAATCAAATTGAGCGGGAAATCAACAACCACCTAACTGACCTGTTCAGAAATTCAAAAAATATATATATATACGGCATCGAACGGGTAGTCTTTCTATGTGTATATTTGTGATTCCGAATATGTACAGCAGTAGCCTTTATGAGTGTTGTTGTTGTTGTCTTCACATTAAAAACCATCCCGGTCTCTCTATCCAGTACCTCCTTCTGTCTCAATCTCTCCGTAC